ACTGTGCTAGTCAGTGGGGGCAGTAGATGCTGTTGAGTGAGCATGTGTGCTGTGTGGCTGTCACATTCAAAATGACTGAGAGAGTGGAACAACTCATCTGCATCCCATTTTGCATGAAGCTTGAACATTGCTCCACAGAAACTATGTGGATGATTCCGAAGGCTGCAGCTGTGGGCAGCTGGTGATTGGTGGCCTCATCACAACAGTGCGCCCGCTCACGCTTCACGTCTTCTGCAGAGTTTTTTGGTGGAGCATCAGATCACCCAGGTGACTCAGCCCCCTGTAACCCAGGTTTGGTGCCCCACCACTTCTGGCTTTTCCCGAAACTCAAAAAATCACCTTGGAAAGGGGCGAGATTTCAGGCTGCCGATGAGATTCAGGGAAACACGACAAGGCAGCTGCTGGAGACAGGGAGAACTGGGTGAGGTCCCAAGGTGCCTGCTTTGGAGGGGACTGAGGCGTCATTGTCCTGTGTAGTGTTTCTTGTATCTTTTTCAGTAAATGTCTTTTTCGTATTACATGGCGGAATACTTTGTGGACAGACCATGCACACACGCACACACCCACACCCTTCTTCCTTTGTTGTTACTGCCTAGGAACCCGAGAAGTTGAGGGAGTTGAAGGACAGGCATTTGGCCGAATTACAAATTAAGTCCTAGCATGTAAAGATAAAGGATTCCTCTTGAAATGACTAGATTGTTTTTCTGAGATTTGGCATGCTGTAAGTTAATTTTGTGTCTATCAGTCTTTTAATGAATGGATTACTAATTGTCTAGTGGTTTAAGAAAGTTTTTTTAGCTCTGACTGGTGCGGCTCAGTGGATTGAGCATGGTCCTGCAAACCGAAAGGTCACTGGTTTGATTCCCAGTCAGGGCACATGCCTGGATTGTGGGCCAGGTCTTGGGGGTGTGCGAGAGGCAACCAGTTAATGTTTCTTTCCCTCTCTTTCTCCCTGCCACCCCCTCTCTCTAAAAATAGCCTTTAAAAGACAGTTTTTTAAAACACACAATGTTAATATATTGCCATGTAAACTTTATATTCTTTATATTTTTACCTCAAAGTCACCAAGGCAGATGACCTAGGCCTTTGTTGTAACTAAATTTACTTCGTCCGACTTGTCCACAGATTCCTGGGAAAGGGGCCTTAGCAAGTGTGTTTCGTTCAGATGGCAGATAGTGGTGACCACCGAGAGGAGGGTGGTCAGCTCGTTTTCGAGATTTGCTTATTCTAGGTTCTGTGTATGCAGTTTCACGTAGATTTAGTGTTTGCAGAGGATACTGTAAAAGTTTTTGTACTTGTACCCTTTACAGGACTTGCGTAGCTAGCCACGTCATCGTGCGTGCCTGTGGCAGGGCCTGTGGCGGTCCGTGGCGGACGCTCCCCGCTGAGGTCTCCTGCCGGGGTGGAGCCCGCCCTCTGGCAAGTCTCGGGTGTGTCTGAGCTCGCGCGAAGCTCCGCGCTTGCTCCGCTTCCCAGGTGGCTCGGGTGCTCTCCGCAGTGGGTCTCACGAAACGTGGGGCTGGCTCACGTTCCATGGCCGGAGAACCCCGAGCCAGCGTGTTTGAAAGCGTGGCTACCCGATGGAAAACGGAGGGCAGGGGCTGACAGAGGGAAAGCACAGGGTTCAGAGCTTAGCTCCGGGAGGAACTCCGGTGAGTGCCGGTGCCCCGGGAAGTGAGGTTTCCGGACTTGAAGCGACTTGAAAAAACGGGACAAGAGAGATGAGACTTTGAACTGAGCCTTACAGGATGGGCAGGGGTCACCAAAGTGTGTGTCTGTTGCACTTGGGTGTCTCAGGTGTGTCTTCACGTGTGTCTGGTCGAGGGCTGGTGATACGTGCGTGAGTCTGGGGTGTGTGTGTTCTGTTGGGAGTGAGTGAGTGTGTCTGGGAGGCGGGGAGGGGTTGCCGAACTGCCTCAGAACGCCTTGCTGTCGGGAGCATTGCTCGGATAGCCAGGAGCTGGGGGCGTTTAGAAAGGGATGGCACTCCGGAGGCTGCCAGAGGGGTCTGACCTGGCCCGGGACAGGGTTGATGGCCGCTGGGAGGGGGGAAAAGAACCGATTGGGCAGAGACTGCCGGAGACACTCCGTGGGGAAAAGGCAGAAGTCAGGATGCTTTTGCATCGGTGCTGGGTGTGGGGTGCTACTGGTGTTCGCATTGGAGACTGGGGGCGGCAGGCTGGGAGTCTGCTGTGCGAGGTGGGGGAGGGTTTGCGTGCGGTCTGCCGAGCTGTTGGCGCGCTGGCGCGAGGGCAGAGTGCGAGGTGGAGGGGCATCTCACCTGCCGTCACAGGGTCTCGCTCAGGGAGCTCAGACCAGGTGTTCTCTCTGGGGACTGCTGCGAGGGAGACAGTGATGCGGAAGGATGCTGAGGAGAAAAGAGGAAATGACTGGAATTTTTGGCTTGAGAGTTAAGCAGTACTTCATATAAAGCTTACGGTTCAGAATTCATTACCTTGTAATATTTTGACAGAGCCTAAATATGCAACATGTTTGGAGTATCCTCTTAGTTTTAGCTTCACTCATATTCCCCTAAAATGCTTTTTGAGCATTTTTACTTATGCCAACGATTATATTAATAAATATTTATATGAGTAAATATAAGCTTATATTAATAAAACTAATTTGGAATCTTTAATGTGTGCCATTAGTCCTTTCTTTGGATAGTTTATCATTTGAAACTGGCAGCTGAGCTTCTTTTAATTCCTTTCTTAAGGAGCTTGTACTGAAGGATTATTTCACTTCTCCAGTTCTTTTTCAGAGGGTTCTAGTAGGGTTTTGCTTGTGGATGTTGGGGATGTGGTTGAGGGAACCTGTGGTATAGCTGCAGTTTGGGGGAGCCGACCTCAGTGCAGCTGTGTGTTGTCTCTGCGGTGTTTCGTAATGCTTCACAGATGTGCTCTAATTAACGCACTTTCAGGCATGACAGTGCCGACGTTCAGTTACTAGTCCCTCCCTTTCCCGCAGCCGTTAGTCCATATGCCCGTGGTACTTGTGCTGTTAGCATTATTTGAGCTGGAAAGGACGTAATCGAGAGCAGTGAGGAGTGTCCCGCTGGAGGAGAAGGGCGGGCACACGCGGAGGCGCTGCTCAGTCTGTGCGCAGCGAGCCCTGCCGGGCCCGCCGGCCCCTGGGCTGTGGTCCACAGCACCCGGCACCCCGGCACTGCGCTCGGACCCAGCATGTTCTTCTGCGAGAACCGAGGGACGTGTGTTTAGGACTAGCAGTCGTGTCTCGTTCCCCATAAATGAGGCACGGGTTATGCAGATTTTGTTGTTGCTGTATTGTACCGGTTGAAGAGTGATTCATTGGATAGAATTGGAAATCTGTGTTTATGAAAAATTAGACTTGTAAATTAAATTTATTGTACTTGGACATATAAATATATCTTAAAAGATATTTAACAATTTTTTTTTCAGTGTGCAATACCATCAGATCTGGGTGCTATTAAAATGATTTTATGTCCTGTTAGGGATGTTTGACATCTGGAAGAAAAAGTGTACTTAGTGTTATTTTCATCTCAATAATGCAAAGTCACCTAATTGAGCTGTTGTTATCTTTACTCTTACATTCCATTTACTGATTACCACCAGTATAAATGGCTCTCTCAAATAATCCTCTCCAGTGAATTTTAGCTTCAGTTACCAAAAGGCAATATTCCTACAGTCTCAATTCTCTACTGAGTGGATACTGTATCTAATTCAGTGACATCATTATCTATTACAATGACCTTACCTTAAAACTCTTGACCTTGGCTTTGGTATTGTGTAGTTACTAGGAGTTCTGGAAAGGGCAGGCTGTTTACCGGACATACATGACAATGATTTTTCGTTTTCTATGCCAGGCATTAGTTCCGCGAAGATGAGCTAAGAGAATGTAATAATGTAAGGAAAGCTGTTTGGTTGAGTTTACGTACATCAAAGTAATCAAAGGATGCATGGAATTTTGAGGGTGAATATTGGAAATAAAATAGTGAGGTTAATTGTGGTAGCCCTGGATGTGTCTATTACGCCGTTTGTTCTTGTAATGCTAGGTTTCCACTTGCTCATTTTCATTTCAAATAGTGTGAACAAGCAATTAATTTTATTCCTGAGAAACTAAAGGAAGACACTGCTTAATGAATATGAAAACTGCTATTAAATCTCGATTGTCCATTTCAGGGGCGCTTCTGTGATTGTAGCTCCCTGATCTTCACATACTTGCCACACTGTGTGTGATCAGTGTGTACAAAGTGTGGTTCAAAATCTAAGCAAAGTGCATGCAAATTAGCTGAATCAGCGCACCCCCCCAATATATATGTAAAATATAGTTACTGAAGGAGAAAAAGACTTCAAAGCTAAATATAAGCAATTTATATAGGGTCTGGCACAAATAACACCCTTTTTTATTGCAAAATCTTTCATTACAAAATCGTAAGCGTGTAATTCTGTAACATAACAATATCCTACTCGAGCACTCATAGGGCATTTCAGGTGTAATGTCGAAATTGCTGTCTGTCTCAGAGCAGGACATTCATGACCCTGTCAGCCACCCTCAAGCAAGCCTGCCTTCTGCCAGACTGTGTGTGCGTGCGTGTGTGTGTGTGTGTGTTTTACTTACTTGTTTTGTGCCACCTTCCCCCTTCAGTAGTAACAAGCAGTGCAGAGAGCACTGGATTTAGTGCTACTGAGTTGGTATTACTGTGCCTATTGGTGCACTTCTGGTTAAGTTTCCACAGAAAAATGTCTTTCCATTGTTTAATTTGATCTGCCCAATTGGCTAATTTTATTGCTGTGTTAAATTAAAATTCTAAACATAGTAGTTCATTATTAAAAGAAATGAGTAGGATTAAAATAGATAATTAGTTAAAATAAAGCTTTAAAAATACTTTTGAAACTGTACTTGAACAATGATTAAAATAAAATTAGAAAGAAAAAAATATACTTCTGGATAAAGTAGCAGGCTTCAAGTGAAACCCAGTTTTGGTCTCCTTTACAGGAAGAGAGCTATTCAGTCAGACAGACCACCTGCCACGTTGTGCAGGACCTCCCGAGGAAGTCAGAGTCTGAGCCAGCATGAAGGCTGAGTCTTGTCTTCGCTCTGATTCATAAACCATGCTTTTGTCCCAATCATGTGCAGAGTGGAGGTCATAGCATGGAAACTGAAATCTTAGTAAGTGACTTCTGTTTTAGCTCTTACATAGCAGCCTTTCTGACAGCGAGATTGTCCTTTAACAGAGTTCACGCTGAAAAGGGGAGTGAGGACTTGGCAAGCAGGGACATAATGCACTTACGGGGTGAAAGATGGAGCTCTCAGGTTCGGGAAAAACCCCCAGGAAAGAGAAGGAAGAGTTTCTTTACTCTGTCTAGGGTTTCTTTTACTTCTCTGGTTAGAAATAGGGGCAGACAACATGAATGCAGTTGAGAAGGGATTTGAGGAAACGGAGAGGCCGGCGTTAGTGGTCGTCGCCTAAATTCAGGCAGTTTGATAGAAGAGTCATGATTAAATTCACATGTGAGCTTCTTCGTTTTATAAATTGGTTGTCATTAAACAGTGAAGTCTTCATTATAGTGTAGTGTTAGTAAGCCCAGTGTAGAATCCTAGGAAACTTTTAAATAGTGAATATATTTTTAATATGAATTGAATTTTGAGTGTATTTTAAATACTGAATATTTTTGAGTGAATATCAAAATTATATTGGAGTGATATGCTAGTGGCTATCTAAGCGAAATTTCATTAATTTCATTGTCCTAAGTATAGATGATTTACACTTTTTATGTGCTTCAAGCAGAACTAGATTGTGAGGAGATACAAGTATAGGCTATCATGCAGTTTTACTTGTTTCAGTGTTACTTTAATTGTAAGGATTACTCCTCAACATCTTTCTTTTTTCACCTGTGCTTATTAAGAGCATTGGACAATTAGTACTTTTAAGCTGCTTTTCTTCCTTAGCAAAAATGATAGAGTTGACTTCGACCTTACGATGCTGTACCTCGATAGTGCACTAATCTGTGTTGTTCATAGTGTGAGAATGGTTATGTGTTGAAGATACTTGGTTTGTGCTCTTTTCCTGAGTCTTTGAACTGTTGGTTGCTTTTCTAAATTGATGGTGATGACGGGCTGAAATGAAACACTTCTGTTAGCAGTTTCCTATTTCAACCTCCTTTCCTCTTAAAGCAAGCCTCTATCTGCTGCCTCTCTCGCATTCTGAAATACAGTTCCATCAAATCCTGAGAGAGCTAAGGTTTTTCTTTATAGATTTACCTCCTATGTCTATGAAAATCAAAAAGGAAAAAAGCATAGTTCAGTATGAAATCTTTACATGCATCTTTTGAAAAATTTGTAAGTGGAAGTGCACTTTTATTTGGGGGGCATATTTTCAGAGGTGGAATTATGTAATTTTTGTATTAATAACCATGTCCTAATTATTTATAGCTTCCTGCTTGACATAACTCACTTCAAGAAGTACACAATGTCAGAACGTGGAATTAAGTGGGCTTGTGAATATTGTACGTACGAAAACTGGCCATCCGCGATCAAGTGTACCATGTGTCGTGCGCAGAGACCGAGCGGAACTATCATTACAGAAGACCCATTTAAAAGCGGTTCGAGTGACGTTGGTCGAGATTGGGACCCTTCTAGCACTGAAGGAGGAAGTAGTCCTTTGATATGCCCAGACTCTAGTGCGAGACCGAGGGTTAAGTCTTCGTACAGCATGGAAAATGCAAACAAATGGTCGTGCCACATGTGCACATATTTGAACTGGCCGAGGGCAATCAGATGTACCCAGTGCTTGTCCCAGCGTAGGACCAGGAGCCCCACAGAGTCTCCTCAATCCTCAGGATCTGGTTCAAGGCCAGTTGCGTTTTCTGTTGACCCTTGTGAGGAATACAATGACAGAAATAAACCGAACACGAGGACCCAGCATTGGACTTGTTCTATTTGCACGTATGAAAACTGGGCCAAGGCCAAAAAATGCGTTGTTTGTGATCATCCCAGACCTAATAACATTGAAGCAATAGAGTTGGCAGAGACTGAAGAGGCCTCTTCGATCATAAATGAGCAAGACAGAGCTCGGTGGAGGGGGGGCTGCAGCGGCGGCAACAGCCAGAGAAGATCGCCCCCCACGGCGAAACGAGACTCGGAGGTGAACATGGATTTTCAGAGGATCGAGTTGGCCGGCGCTGCTGGCAGCAAGGAGGAACTTGAAGTGGACTTTAAAAAACTAAAGCAAATTAAGAACAGGATGAAAAAGACCGATTGGCTCTTCCTCAATGCTTGTGTGGGTAAGTTTCTGCATTTTATTGAATGGGGTGGGAAAAGCTACTGACAGGACTTGAGAGAGAGATGCAGGGTCAGCACTGCTTAGCATTTAGTTCATTTACCGTGATAGTACATTCATGGTCTCGGAACAGCCTCGTTTTGAATTGCTTCTCTTTCATTGTCTGTGTGCCTCTCCATCAGGGAGGAGCACTTTTAGGTTAAAGCAAAGTCGTTTACACGTCAGTAGTAAAACACATACCTGCAGTTTTAACCGCTGCCCTGTTTACTGTAACAAGATGTGACCGAGGAACCCCAGCTGCTGCTTCGGTGTCTGTAAACAGCGTGAGCATCTTGTGACGATAGAAGCTTTAGTCAGATGTTAAAAATATCACAAAAATGTGTGACTCCAAGGAGTCCGACAAACATAATACCGACTTTGAAAACACTGGTGTTAGTGTGACACGAATGGCGTGTAGTAGTAGATGATGCAGACTCTGTGAAACTGGTTTCACAAGGCTGCCTGATTCCATAGGGGCCTTGTGATTTCAGTGCTTTCCTAGGGAGGCCCTGGATGTGGGCTCCAGCTACTGGCTCAGAGCTGTTCGAGGGCAGACGTGTTGTCAGTGAGTTACTTCTGATCTAATTCCCAAAAGCAGTTGGTCGACTCTTCCATGTTTTCTCTAAGTAGACTAGCTACTTGAATTTGGTGATTTTCGTTTTTTGGATGGAGTGCTTACTTTGACATTTATTTTTGTAAAGGGAATGTTGAGTGACTACTAAAAAATACGCGGAATTGTGGCTTAGCTGTATATATATTTTTCCTCAGTATTTCTTTTGTTTATCCCCCTTCATATAACCCCAAGAATATGGAAGACCTAATAGCTATGTGGACCTGCAAGTCCTAAGAGGAGATTCTAAGAAACCTGAATTTTTTTATTTCTGTTTTATCCTGGCAAAAAGAATGTCTCAGCAGATGAGCCCTCTCTGAACAGCAGACACAGTTGGCCCCTAGTAACTGTCAGTCCCGCTCACTGCTGTCCTGAGGACTGCAGGGGAAAGCGCCCTGGGCCGTCTTTGGTCTGTGCTGTCCCATTTCATCCCATTGCGTCCTTAAACATCTTTTCTTGAAAAAGCCCTCACCCACGGACAGTTTGTCATTGCTTTTACAGAGAGGGAAGGGAGCGAGGCCAGAAAAGAAACATCGATGCTTCGAGAGAAGAAGCATCAATTGGTTGCCCACCCCCGCCCCCCTCCCTGTAGGTGCCTGAACCGGGGGCTACTGACCAGGCTCCAGCCAGCTGAGCCTCACCAGCCAGGGCCCTTTTTCCTCCCTCAGTTGGGGTAGCACTTGTCACGTGGTTGTCTTTTTTCTTTTTATAAGGAGATACAAAAGGATGTTGTTTATCGCTTATTTTTCTAGGTGAGGTCCAATTCACATGACCAAACCCACCATTTGGGAAGTGAACAATTCAGTGGCATTTATTGCATTCACAGCGTTGTACAGCCACCACCTCTATCTGGTTCTGAAATACTTTCATCACCCGAAAGGAAACCCTGTACCCAGAAAGCAGTTACTTCATATCCCCCGCCATGCCCTCTCCCCCACCCACCCTGCACCCCTGCCTGGGGAACTGGCAGTCTGCTTGCTTTCTCTGTGGGTTTATCTGCTCTGGACATGCCATAGAAATGGAGTCTTTCACGACGTGACCTTTTGTACCTAGGCATGATTGTCTTAATTAGCTCTGTGTCCTTTGGAACACCCGCAAATCGTTTTTGCAAGCAGTAGTGTCCTGTGCACGTTTACTACAAGTTGGTGTTACAGTGTGTGTAAGTTTATAGATACAGGAAGTAAGCGACATCACAGTGATTCTTAACCTCTTTTGGGTCATACAGTTCTTGAGGAATCAGGTTCATTGTTTCTTGAAGTTAGTGGACCTCAGGGTTAAGAACGACTTTGAAATGTTTTCTCTCCTTGAAACATGCATTAGACCAATCAGTATCATTTTTTAAAAGATTTTATTCATTTTTAGAGATGGGGAAAAACAGGAGAAAGAGAGGGAGAGAAATATCAGTGTGTGTTTGCCTTTTGCACACCCCATACTGGGGACCTGGCCCGCAACCCAGGCATGTGCCCTGACTGGGAATTGAACCGGCGACCCTTTGGTTCGCAGGCCAGCTCTCAGTCCGCTGAGCCACACCAGCCAGGTGTGGCTTGTTCTTATGACCACTCTGTCTTCTTGGTGCTACCTTCTATTTCTTTCACATATTCTTCTTTGAACAACCATCCTTATGCCTCTTCAAAATTTTAAGAGGTGTGAATTTATTTTAAGAGTGGAACAGAAATTCCTACCAGCAGGTCCAGTATTGGATTTGGTCTTGTTTTATTTACAAAACAGTTTCTTTGTCGTTAAGTTCCTATTCCCACCCACTCCAGAGTTCTAGGCTCATAGGGCCGGGGATTGGTTGTACTTGATTTTCGGTAATGTGGATTCTGTCTTTTCTATCTGCAAATGTTTTTACTGTTCACTCATTACACTGCGAACAGTAAACATGGTTCCCAACTGTTGTACGAAAAAGATTATGGCCCTGTCTTTATTAGGCAGTCATGTCTTGATCTCTGGAATGTGCTAAAAATATTTCTTTCTTGTTTGTATTTTGTTGGGTTAGCAGAAGGCCAAATGTACTGAAAATGAATCTTTACGCCTCCTTTTCTGCCTGTTTCATGTTGTCCAGGTTTCATTAGGTATGCTGTCTTAGGGCTTGCTGATGTTGTGCTTTTAAAAAAGTTATGTCAGCCGTCCCTTTGGCAACACATACACTAAAAATGTCTCCAAAGTGTATACAGTAAGTATAAAACAAGTACTTTTACTGAGCATCAGATGTGAGAAATGTGAAATTGGGGGAAACCCTCAGCCCCCGAGGGCCAGCTCTGTAGCTGGTAAAGCGGGAATGCGGGCACGGAGTTGTTGAGAGGCAGGAGTGACCTGGAGCCTCAGCAGCGTTGAGCAAGGACCGTGAACATGACTGCTGGGTATAAGTTTCACATCAGTCACATTATCTCATGTGGCGAGAGGGCGTTGGGATAGTGTTGCCAAAACCTGACCCCGGGTGGGAGCTGGGATGGTCGAGTGCCAGGTGTTTTTCCGGGAGGTCATGTCAGTGCTAATCGAGACTCCTTTTCCCCCGATAGAGGATAATGTCCCTGGGGAGGAGGGCAGCACTCCTCAGCGCCATTGTAGTTCTGTCGTATTGAGTCGGTCGCCCTTTAAAAAAAGGAGCATTTAAATTTGAGACCCAAGTCGACTCCCTGAAAAGACTATGGGCAGGAACAGTGGATGAAGAAGACCAAATATGTATTTATTTATTATTATAAAGCCATACTACAGAGTTTTTTTCCCTGCTTGATATGGTTCAAAGTACTGTTGCTGGAACTTTTTTTTTTTTCTTTTAATTTTTAGAGAGAGGGGAAGGGAGGGAGAAAGGGGAACATTGATGTGAGAGAGAAGCATCCGTCACCTCTTGGACACACCTTGACTGGGGACTGAACCTGCAACCTTTAGGCATGTGCTCTGAGTGGGAATCGAACCAGCGACCTTTTGCTTCAGGAGGGTGCTCAGCCAACTGAGCTGTACCTACAGGGCACTGAGACTTTTTAATAACTTTTGATACCTGTGAGTATTACTGTTCTCAGTCCTGTCTTTTTCCAAGTCAGCTAGTTGAATATGCCTTTGTGAAGCTGACTGCCGTGTCCCAAGGTCGTCTGTCACCCACTGCAGTTTCCCAGCATTCCATGGGTAGGCTATAGTATTTGGATTTGATTTTTAGTGTGGAATTTCTGTGGCATTTGGTCTGTTTTCTTTGCTTGTGTTTGCCTGTTTTCAAGTTCGTGTAGCATAGCTGTTTGGACAGTTTTCCATCCTTAGAATTTTTCCTGCTCTGTGTAATTGCTCTGCGATAATTACCATTTCTGAGAGGCACTAGCCCAGAAGCAGACGTATGTTTCAGTGCTTAATTTTTGGAGATCATCTCTTAGGAATTTAGAGAGGAAGCTAATGGAATTGTTCACTGTTCTGATAGATTAAAGCTGTGGTTATTTTGTGTTTCTTGAAAAGGACTTTAAATTTTACTTTTCAATTATGTTTACATTCAGTATTATTTTTTAATTTTTAATTTTTATTTATTTTAATTATTGTTCAAGTACAGTTTTCTGCCTTTTACCCCTATCCCAGCCCACCCCCATTCAGTATTATTTTGTATTAGTTTCAGGTGTATAGATTGGTGGTTAGGCAATTATATACTTTACAAAATGTTCTTTTTAATATTTCCAGTACTCAGCTGGTTAAGTTATAGTTATTATTATATTCTTAGTGCTAGATTTATCCTAGGATGCTAATGGGCCATTTTGTTTATGAACTTGACTCTATGCTGATACCAGATTGAGTGTTCTTCTGAAAGTTGCTCTTCTCCTTAGTGCCCTGCCCCCCCAAAGTGTTGCTTTACATATGCATAAAAGCCTGCAGAAGAGGTCTTGAGTCTTAGACATTTAAAACCATGAGGTTTTAAATAACATTTTTAGAAAAGATTTTACTTATTTTTAGAGAGAGGGGAGGGGAGGGAGAGAAAGAGAGGGGAGAAACATCAACGTGTGGTTGCCTCTTGTGTGCCCCATACTGAGGACCTAGCTTGCAACCCAGGCATGTGTCCTGACTGGGAATCGAACCAGCGACCCTTTGGTTCACAGGCCAGTGTTAAATCCACTGAGCCACACCAGCCAGGGCTACATAACATTTTTTAAAACAAAAATGGTTTGAGTTAAAATGTTCTATTAAAAACTTTTAATAGAGCCCAAATATGTACGGACTCCTGCAGCAGATCGGTGGCACTGCCTCCATAAAAGGAAAGCAGAGCGCCGGCGCGCTGGCGACTCCGTGTATGTCCTCAGTGAGCTGTGTGTGATGCTCTTACTTGGGGGGTGTGTAGCTGTGAAAATTCGGTCTTTTCACTCCACATGCATCCTCCTCGC